TGTCGAATGAAAACATATCCCTTCTCCTTTTTTGAATAACATCGATGATGACCCCACTGTTGTGTCCCTTATGGCTCCTGTTTCGCACGATCATACCTGTGACTCTGGTTTTCCTGAATCCGACTCTGCTCTTCAAACAGAACCGGTCTTACCTTCTGATACTTCTGATGCTTCTTTGCCAGAAGATGTTGCTGATAATATTGTGGTAAACACCGCTGATTCTATCGAGGAACCTCTTGGCAGAGGTCACCTCACTAAGTTTAAGAATGTTAAGCTTTGTGATCTTTTAGTTGGTGCCATGTCTGGTTCTAGTCCTTCACTCTCTCTCGCTTCAGATTCACCCACTCCTCAGCCACCCTCAGGTTCGCTTTATCCCCTTTCTAATTATGTTTCGATTGATCGGTTTTCTCCTAATCATCGTAAGTTTTTAATGGCTTTGAAAAAAAAAAACATTGAGCCACGATCGTTTCAAGAGGCAATGAACAATAAACATTGGGAAAAAGCTGTGAATTCAGAGTATAACTCTCTTTAGGAATTACAAACGTGGAGACTAGAAGATCTGCCTTCAGACAAAAAAGCGCTTGGTTGTAAATGGGTATTTACGACGAAATACAGATCAGATGGATCGATTGAACGTTCGTCTAGTTGTCTAGTTGGATATGAAATACAGATCAGATGGATACGAAAGCTCGTCTAGTTGTTCTTGGCAATCATCAAGAAGAAGGGTTTGATTATGAGGAGACCTTCGCACCAGTGGCTATGATGAAGACGGTTCACATATTCCTTGATTTTACAGCCAAGAATAATCACGAGGTTCATCAGATGGACATCCACAATGGTTTTCTTCATGGTGATCTTCATGATGTAGTTTACATGAAACTTCCTCCGGGTATTCATCCTGATGGTGAAACGCACGTCTGTCGTCTTCAGAAGTCCTTGTATGGTTTAAAATAGGCTACTCATTGTTGGTTTGCTAAACTAGCTGATGCACTTCTTGCAAATGGTTTTACTCAGGCTCGAGCTGATTACTCCCTTTTCATATACTCCAAGAATGACGTCTCTTTCCGAATCTTGGTCTATGTAGATTTGCTCATTTTGGGCAATTCTCCTACGAAAATTAAAACATTTAAAGATTACTTGTCTCTTTGTTTCCGCATGAAAGATCTAGGAGTGGTGAAATATTTTATTTGGCCTGGAAGTAGGTCATAGTCCATCGGTATTTATCTTTGCCAACACAAGTATGCGACTGATATTGTTGCAGAAATGGGTCTTCTTGGGTGTAAACCGGCTGGCTCTCCTATTGATCAGAATCATCAATTAGGACTCGCTGATGGTCCTTTGCTTGCTGATCTCGAACGCTATCGAAGACTGGTGGGACGTCTTATATATCTTGCTGCAACTCGTCCGGATCTTTCTTATGCAATCCATGTCCTCTCCAAATTCATGTAGACTCCTAAAGATGCACACTGGCTTGCAGCTTTAAAGGTGGTGCGTAATCTTAAGGGAGCACTTGTGCAAGGAATTTTTCTTAGAGCTGAAGCCAATTTTCATGTCAGTGGTTGGTGTGATTCGGATTAGACTTTTTGTTTTTTAACAAGACGGTCCATTATAGGATATACTATTTAATTTGGCTCTTCTCCTGTCATGTAGAGGTGTCAAAAACAGGATTCTTCTCTCGGTCTTCGACGGAAGCAGAATATTGCGCTATGACTGAGATAACGACATAGCTTTAGTGGATTAAAGTGTTGCTTAGAGAAATGGATATGGAGCACAAAGATCCTATGTCAATTTTTTCGATAGTAAACCTGCCCTACATATCAAAGCAAATATGGTGTTTCATGTGCATACTAAACACGTTGAATTGGATTGCCATTTCATTCGTGACAACATTATTTGAGGACTAATCAAATCTGTGCATGTTTCTACAAAGGACTGGCCGATATTCTTACCAAGGCATTGACTAAAAAGGAATTTGATACTTTTTTGTTCAAGTTGGGCATCGCAAATTTGTATGCTCCAATTTGAGAGGGGATGGGGAGGGGAAGAAGTATTAGAGAAATTGATTTCAACTGGATGTATCTCCTAGTTTCTACTGCAATAGAACAGCTTTGAGATTGTAGTATAAAGGATTCGAAATCCAGAGGACCAGTGTTACTCTATGACTATAAGATGATTGAATTAAAGCTAAGACAAAAGATTGATTGATTGAAGCTTAAACAGCAAGAAAAAGAAAATTAAAAATGATGTAAATTTGATTTGGGAAAAGCAGTAGACCAAGGAAATTCGCAGGAGCTTCAGAGATGAGAATCAGATGGCTATTCAGGGCACAATTTAAATGCAGGTCTCGAACTTAAACATAAACATATATCGACCCACTGTCGTGGCACCAATAACTTTGTCTAACAACCTAAATTCTAAACTGTCGTTTGAACCTAGAAAATTGCAGACAAGCATTAACAATCAGGTTTAATCTGTTCACGATTTGTCTTAACTTCAACTGTCGTTGGCTAAGGACAAATCGCTCACCAAAGTTTATTCTAGCAACCTATTACACTTTTGATGAATATATTAACCTAAGATCGTAAATTGAGTGATCAGTTCAACCTAAGCATTAAGTTTAACAAAGGTGAAGACAATCGATTTTAAGCCCTATTTGCATCCAAATCTCTAACTCATGAAATCCTTTGAAAACCTTAATCTAGCTAAGAGATCTAATCAGACATGGATAAAAGAAACACAACAACAGATGAAAAGGAATTCATGAAATAAATTGCAGAAGTGATAATAGGGTTCAGAATTCTTCTCAAAGTGTAGCAGATTTCCTCTCCCAAAAGCTAACAAGCAAAAACTCTCTAGTCCAAAAAATTGTAAAAAGAAAGCGTAGAAGAAAGTCTGTAAAACGTGATTCTGTTTTTGAGGCGGCTCTGGACTTTTTATTCTCTTTATGGTCCTAGAATTAGATAGAAATCGTTTTCCTTATTTTTCTCCAGGTGGTTGGAGCAGGTGCTCCACGAAAGGGCAAAATCGGGAGCAGGTGCTCCCGACCAAGAATGATCCAACTTTGTGTAAATTGACCTCTTTTTCTCAGCTTTAGCTCCTTTTTGCACCAAAAGCTCCAGTTGCTCCAATCCTCGCCTAAAGCTCCCTAGATACCTGAAACAACCTGAAAAAGACTCCAAAGACTCTTAAAAAGATCAGAAAACACGTGTCAGAATGAGTCAAAATAGCCACTTATCAACTCCTCTGGACTTAGACCTTTGTTTGTCCTCAAACAAACTAAAATCTAGTTCCATAAAAATTGTTTAGACAATGGTGGGAACTCGCAGAAGACCGTAAATTTGACCACAGCATGCGAAATACCTGCTGCAACATCAAACCAAATCGAACCTCCATGAACTTCTCCGCAAGCATTGAAGCTTCCCAGATTAGATCCATAGTTTCATGACATTATTCATATCCCATCATTGCTGGGTCTCACTGATGAAACCAATGCCAAGAGCCTTCTAGACTTATTCCATACTATACCATGACAAACTGACCAAACACACAAAGGTACTCTTCTTCTCCCCCAGACTTATTCTTTTCTCATTCTTTTTTTTTTCTAGGCATATATAACAAGGTGCAGAGACACGAGTACTGATGGTGATTGCCACCGAATCCCCAGTTTGTTCCGTCATTATATATCAAAGGTGTAGGCGAATAAAGGGGTCATGGGAAATTTTTATACCCCTTGCTTCCATCCTTTGTGTGATCATTCCTTTTTAGATGTAAAATAATGGGATCCTTGGAAATTTTCCTAACCCTTTACTTCTAAAAGAAAATCATTTCAATCTTATATGCATTTTCCCTTCTATAAAGGAGAGAAGTACCATATCTAGATCTCACACAGGTCCTTATTTGTCAGGTATGAATGAGGAGTGAAGCCCTGTGAACACCAGTCACATCGATGAGGTAAAAAGAAGAGCTCAAAAATTAGCTCAGGTCAATGGATTTTGTCAGAAACATGGACGCCTCTAGTCCGCTGGTCAGCCCTTGGATTTTCCATTAGTCAGATCTAGACTGATTCTGCAGCAATAATCACGAAAAAGAACATGGTCAAAATTCACAAATGGTCTAAACTCATCATAGATTTGGTCCTAGTTTCCACAAGCTTTGACTTGACTCATATAACCAACAGACTCAAAGAAACAATATGACTCAAAAAAACAAACTAACAACTGACTCAAAGAAAATACTAAAAGAAAGAAACCAAAAGAAAGAAGTACAAGAGACACGACCCTCCTCCGGACTTACTTCACACTGTCCCCGGTGTAAAAATAAGCTAGAGAAGTGCCCAGAAAACGTACCTGGTTCGCGCATGTAGAGCACCCTGGCGGAGCAGGTGCTCCGGAACAGAGTTGGGTGCTCCCTTGTCATTTGTTCGTCTGGAGCAGGTGCTCCAGGTTCCCTTTGGTTTCTCTTTTGTCATTTTTTCGTCTAGGGCACCCCGTGGAGCAGGTGCTCTGACAGAGGGGGGGGGGGTGCTCTATCGTCGCTATTCACGCTTTGAACAGCCAACCCAGCAGATGGAGCAGGTGCTCCGGTTGGTTGCTCTTTCTTCTTCTTCTTCACATCCTTTCTTTCACGATGAAAACTTCCAACCTGTTTTTTTTTTTTTTTTTTTTTGGAAAACAATGAACCTAAAAACAAAGGTAATAGCTAAAAAAACTGAAAGACACAAAGTTAGAAACTCTTACCGGTGGGTTACCTCCCACGAAGCGCTTGTTTTAAGTCACTAGCTTGACTTGGAAATCCATTTAGGCTTGAGGAGGATCGCTTAAGGTGAGTGATTCACCCTCTGCGACATTTGGACCAGCAAGGTATGACTTTAGCCTCTGTCTATTGACAACGAACTCGCCTCTTTTAGTATCCAGCAACACTACAGCTCCTTATGGTCGAAATTCTTTAATGATGAAAGGTCCAGACCACCTTGATCTCAGCTTTCTAGGAAAAAGCTTCAATCAAGAATTAAACAGCAGCACCTGATCGTTTGGTGCAAAACTCCTGTTGAGGATTCTATTGTCATGGAAAGCTTTGGTTTTCTCCTTGTAGATTTTTGGGTTTTCATAGGCCAGATGCCTGATTTCCTCCAACTCGTGCAGCTGCATTACTCTCCTATCATGAGCACTTATAGCATCGAAATTCAACAACTTCACTGCCCAAACAGCTTTGTACTCGAGTTCTACTGGGAGATGACATGCTTTACCACACACCAAGTGAAATGGTGTAGTTCCCAAAGGTGTTTTGTAAGCTGTCCTATATGCCCAAAGAGCATCATCAAGCTTCACCGCCCAATCCTTCCTTGTGGTGCTTACAGTTTTCTGCAGAATGTTCTTGATCTCCCTGTTGAAAATCTCGATTTGCCCACTCATCTGAGGATGGTATGGGGTTGCCAACTTGTGCTTTACACCATTCTTCTTCAACAAGTTCTCAAAAACTTTGTTAATGAAGTGAGAACCTCCATCGCTAATCACAACCGGAGGCACACCAAACCTTAAGAATATGAACGATTTGAACATCTTCAAAACCACATTTGCATCATTTGTAGGGCTAGCCAGAGCTTCGACCTACTTTGACACATAGTCAACTGCCACCAGAATATACTCATTGCCATAAGATGATGGAAATGGTCCCATGAAATCGATACCCCACACATCAAAAATCTCCACTTTCAAAATAAATTTCTGAGGCATCTCATCTCGCCTGCTTATGTTCCTCTGCCTCTGGTATGTGTCACACCTGGATATGAATCTCTGCGCATCTCGAAACATAGTAGGCCACCAATACCCAGCCTAGAGAATCTTTGACACTGTTTTAAAAGTGGCAAAGTGGCCAGCATAAGGTGAACCATGGCAATGAAACAAGACCCCATGTATCTCTTCATCAGCTACACATCTCCTGAAAATCCCATCAGAGCAATGCCTATATAAGTAAGGCTCATCCCAAAAGTAATATCTCACATCCTTCAGAAACTTCTTTTTCTTGTTTCCCATGAAAGCTGCAGGTTTCTGCTCTGCAGCAAGATAATTTGCTATATCTCCAAACCAAGGGAAACCAGAATGCCGAGTTACTTCAACTGAGTTGCAAAAGTTCGCCAGAGCAGGTGCTCCAGGCTGGAGCAGGTGCTCGTCGAACCCAAAAATATCAATGGCGTAAACTTGTTCATCAGGGAGGCTGTCATCTAGTGGAATGTCATCATCAATCTTCAGCCTTGAAAGGTGATCTGCAACACCATGCTCGATCCCCTTTTGTCTTTGATCTCCAAATCAAATTCCTGCAGCAAAAGGATCCATCTAAGGAGCCTTGGCTTGGCATCCTTCTTCGTCAAGAGATACTTCAGCGCAACATGATCAGTGTGGACAACAACCTTCGATCCAACAAGGTAAGACCTGAATTTCTCAAAGGCATAAACCACTGCTAAAAGATCTTCTCAGTTGTGGCATCTCTGCACTGAGCTTCATAGAGTGTTTGGCTGGCACAATAGATGACATGGAACCTCTTTTCTTTTCTCTGACCCAACATTGCTCCGACTGCATAGTCACTGGCATCGGTCATGACCTCAAAAGGTAGTTCCCAATCTGGTGGCTGGACAATAGGAACGCTAACCAAAGCTCCTTTGATCGTATGAAATGCCTCCAAACATGCATCATCGAACTCAAGTTTCACATCTTTGCACAGCAGCTGCGTCAGAGGTCTAGGAATCTTCAAGAAGTCTTTGATGAAATGCCTGTAAAACCCAGCATGACCCAGAAAACTGTGGATCCTTTGACTGATGTTAGTGGCTGCAGACTCATCATCACCTCGATCTTTGCCCTGTCTACTTCGATCCCTTTCTCTGAGATTTTGTGTCCCAGCACGATCCCATCTCTCACAATGAAATGGCATTTCTCCCAGTGGAGCACCAGATGCTTCTCCTCACACCGCTACAAAACCCTGCACAAATAGACAACAGACAGAAAAGGAGCTTCCATAGACAGAAAAATCGTCCATGAAAACTTCCATTATGTCCTCAATCAGATCAGTAAAATCGACATCATGCAGCGTTGGAAAGTCGCTGGGGCATTGCACAAGCCAAATGGCATCCTGCGGTATGCAAAAGTGCCATAAGGACATGTGAATATCGTCTTCTCCTGGTCGTCTGGGTGGATTGAGATCTGAAAGAAACCTGAATAACCATCTAAAAAGCAGTAGTAAAGATGGTTAGCCAATCTTTCAAGCATCTGATCAATAAATGGCAAAGGGAAATGATCTTTGCGTGTTGCAGCATTCAATTTCTTGTAATCTATGCACATTCGATGCCCAGTAACAGTTCTAGTTGGTGTCTTCATTCCTATCATTTTTAATCATAGTGATGCCACCTTTCTTAGGAACTACATGAACCAGACTAACCCAATTACTGTCTGAAATCGCATAATTCACACCAGGTTCTAGAAGTTTTATTATCTCCTTCTTAACAACATGTTGTAGATTCGGGTTTAACCTCCTCTGATGTTCTACAGAAGTCATCGATTCATCTTCTAGATGTATTCTATGCATGAAAAGATCAGGTGCTCCCTCGGCGTTTCTGCAGTTGAGTTCTCCTTGCCTTCCAAGCTCATGTATGCCACCAGCCCCTGCATCCTCGTGCTTGCATCTAGCATCCTTGCAAACCCATGAGCTTCCTCACTTAAATACCCATGTTCTCATTCGGCTTTTGTGAGTGCAACTTCCAAAGGATAAATGGCCAAAACCTCTTCAGCAATCTCTTCAGTAATGTCTGAACCAGCAGGTGCTCTATCGTCGCTTCTACGTCGGGAGCAGGTGCTTCAGGATTCAGAGAAGGTGCTCCAGTTGAGGAAGTATGCTCTATCGTCTTTTTTATGCCTGCTCCACGTATTTTTCCTTCCTCTTTTCTGAGACAGCACTTGTTGGTGCAGCATGCAGTGTCTTCCCAATTCTCAGCTCAAAAGCATTCACAAACTCATTCGTGGGGTTCTCACTTTTTCCAGAGAGAGTTCTAGGTGATCTCTTAACAGCTTCAGCAGTCTGAGCTACCTGAACATCCAGCTTCTTCACATGAGTCCACACTGCTTCATACTTGCCATTCAAATCATTGTACATGGTGTCGACTTTGGCATTAATCTCCATGGAAGACTTTTGTTGATTAACCAGCAGCTGTTGCATCAAGTTTTTCAGCTCATCCTGCGAGTTATTTGGGGAACTCAAAGAAGGCTGCAGACTTGTGAAGGACAACTTCTGCTGATTTCCACCTTGAAATCGATTCTGATTGGTGATGAGCTGCTTTCCTTGGAAGTTGCTGGAGAAGTTCTTCTGAAATCCTGACTGATTCTACACTCATTGCTGCGGATAGACCTGATCCTGAGGGTTCTTGATGGGCTTGCTGGCCAAGGGTTGTTTTTTAACAAGCCCGTTGGTCCTCCAAAAGTTTTAAATTTATAAAACCCTAGTGTCTGCAAGTGCACAGATGTACATTGTAGGACTTAGGGTGTCGATCCACAGGGAGGATGTCTAGTCTGCGAGAAACAACAAACTGGGAAGTAAGCAAACTCATAAACCAGTAAAGTTTTGGGGTTTTTGGTTAAGATCCTAAACTAAACCTAATCTAATATTCACAAGAAATGTAATGCAGGATGAATTGTTAAAAGAACATCTAAAGCATATCGACTCAAACTAAAGACTCTTAGCTTACGGACGATTTATCTTCATCTGTTACCAATTAGCTTACGGACGATTTATCTTCATCTGTTTCTGGGAATCTGCATTGAACTAGAATAGACAAATGTATGATTAACCAACTGTCGTCACCTTATTCAACTAATCTCTTGGATCTAGCAATTAACTCTCGCTCTCATGCTAAACTTAAGATCATGCATTGAATTCGTCTGCTCACATCTTCTCTATAGGTAGCTCCCGACTCCTATAGCTACTATGTTCTTCTGAAGCTAGGTATGGATGATCTGATACAACACTCTCGTGGCTCTGATCGATCCTAGGCTCAGAGAATAGGTCATGAATCTACTCTCATGCTTTTAGAATAACTTGGAAGAGATGAGATCCAGAATATGGCCAAGAACAATAGAAATCCTGATCGATATATATGCTTGTCGATATCTTCAAACAACTTGACTCTCTAGGACTAATCTACATGATGCAATGAAAGATGAAAAACATAGAAGAATGCAAAAGAATGAAACAGAAAAGTTAATAACATAAAAAGGAGGAAGAACAATGGATCTGGGGAAGAATCCCCATCTCCATCGCCTAACCCTAGAAAAACAGAGTTTGGTGGCTCAAAATCTCATTACAGGAGCACACACCCGTTTAGGACTGCTAAACAATGTATTTATAGGTCCTAAGGTCTTCTAGGTCTCATTTATAGCTTCTCTGAGGAGAAATGGCAAAGTAGGCTTTGATGTTGGGCCTTGTGGCTCGTCCTAAGGTCCACCGGGGGTGAGAGTCTTCTAGGGCAGGTAAAACATGTGTTTCCCGCGGATGAGAGTATTCCGGGACTGGTGAACTGGGTCAACTTGTTTTCTATGTATCGTTAGATTGTACCGTTGGATCTTTGTGATGTAAAGTTCTATGGAAAGCGGGTTGTATCCTCTTGATTGGCTCCAAATTTGAGCTGGATCAGACGGTGAGAAAGTTTTCATTTGAGGCTGAACTTCTGACGGTCTGACTCTGAGCTAAAAATATGGATTTCTGCCATTATGTGATCATATTCCCTAAGTTTCCTGAAAAGAGCCTTGAAACTACAAATACATGGAAATCATAATAAAAGTTCATAAAACTAATTAAAACCTTTGAAAAAGCATTTGAAATCAATGGTGAAAAGTGGTCAAAATCAGGTGTTATCAACTCCCCTAGACTTAAGACTTTGTTTGTCCTCAAACAAAATAAGATCAAATCTGGAAAAATATCATTCAACAAAAATGATAGGGAACTCAAAAATATCAGCAACCATACTTCTAGACCTTAATTATGGACAATGCATCAATCAGATCAAGTCTAGAAAATTCTCACCAAAATACAAACTTAACTAATCCGTTAATCCGTCATGGGAAAATCCACACACTTAGAACTAACTTCCAATCAACTAGCTCTTAACATTCATTAAAGGTTTCAGTGGTTCTCATCAAAAAGGATATTAAACAAGACATTCAAGGTTAGGTATCAAAAGACTTCTTAATGGTAAGGTTGATGTGTTTAGGGTTACTTTTTTCTAGAGAGACATGACATTATGCAAAACAGCGAGAGAGGGTGGAAATGTAAATGCCCCCACAGTTTCAGTCATATTCTTCTTGCTTCAAGATTTCTGATCTCCTTTCTTCAGGTTTTCCTTATAGTTCCCCTACACTTAGATTTTTGTCCAGGTTGTGAATCCATAACTCCTTAAGTGAATACCTATTGCCTTGGCTCAAATAATTTCGGCTTCTCCTTTCTTCAGGTTTTTTTTTTTTTTTTTTTTTTTAGAAAGGGGAAACTGCCTTTTTACTTGGAGTCTTAGGGAGCACTAAAATTACCTTTAAGAATGAGCTTTTCTGAGGCATCATAAGATTTCTGGCACACTCCCTTCTGGTCTCTTTCAGTCTTTCTCTTGAGTGACTGAAAACTATGTTGTTCCTCCCTCTCCGACGTTTTTACACATATCTGTCGATATAAACTCAAGAGAGAATGCATGAGGTTTGAACATGAAGGTTTGGGTTAAGGGTGTGGTACCTGCTAAAGGTGAACTGGCCATCTAGGACAACAAAGAGTGGTAACAATAACGTAAAGATTTCCTAGATGTATATCATGATGCCTTCTTAAAACCATTTATGAGAAAATTAGATGTCAAGATTAAGTCCAAGTAAAATGAGCTATTATATCCTGTCAGAAAAGTTCTTCATGAATAGAAGTCCTCTGGTGGGATTTCGTAGTGTAAGTACTCTAACTACCGCCTAGTCTAGTACTACACCTTGAAAGAGCTTTCATGAGTGATTGGTGTCGAAGCAAACATGTTGGTTATCATCATCGATTTTGTCATTATTCCCTCAAAATATATTTGACCTTTGAAAACACTTTTTTGAAACTGATAACACATTATTTTGACCATTTTTGTGGATCGATTTTAAATGCTTTTCAAATGTTTTTTTAATGTTTTTTAAGTTTTTTTACTTTTATTTTCTAGTATTTGTAGTTCCAAGACTCTTTTCAGGTTATTAAGGCAAAAGGTGTGCATTTTGGAGCAAAAGAACATTTCAGATAAATTCGGGTCGACAGAAGTTTCACATCCTATGAAGACCTTCTCACCGTCAGATCATCCCCAAAATTGGACATAATATAAAGGAGACAACTAGCTTTCAAATGCAGTTGGTTGGAAGAAAATCAAGTGGTTAGATCTTCAGATATCCTTCATGCACTGAAGAAATGTTATGCAGTCTCGCGTAGGAAGCAAGCACAGAAATGAAGATTCAACCTCAAAGACCAATTTCCGCGGGTCCAGGAGCCACGATCGCGGGGAACACACTCTCGACCGCGGTTACGAGTGTCTGGCCTCGGCCAAACCCCAATTCACCGCGGTCAGAGGCCTCGTGACCAGGACCGACTAAAAGGCTGGCCCATGACCCTGTTTCAAGCCCAATTCGTCTTCTCTTCATAGAAAACCCTAAGGACGACTGGAGAGAGTTGAAGACCTATAAATATGTATCTAATCTGCCCTATTTTCGTGTGCCTCAGAAGAATCCCTTTTGGGAGCCACTAAATTTAGTTTTCTAGGGTTTTTATGTTCTTATGTTCTTAGTTCTTAGTTTAGGGAGATAAAGATTTCTCTTGAACCCTCTTTATGTTCTACCTTTATTTCAATTCGGTTTTTACTTCTATGCATCTTTCAATTTCGTTTTTAT